AGGTTTCATATGGGCGCTAATGCCATAAATGATTCGTTTATCAACAAGTACAACACAATAAACTATGATAAATACTCGTACCAATTGCGATTGGAGGTTTTGGATATTTTGTTGGTTGTTACTTGTTTCGGTTGCACCGAAAGTACCAGTCAAATGATCAGAAAGGAAACCGCCAATTGCTGATTGATTTTGTTGTTGACCTAAAATGAAAATATCCAAATAGTCACAATATATTCAAGTATAAATATTAGTATCAGAAACAAACCATTGTCGACAGCTGATGTTGGCGTCTTTGACTGGAACATGGAAAATGTTTTGGATATTCCGCTTAGACTACTCTTCATGAAGTTTGCAGTGGCTTGTGATGACGATGAGAATAAAGATGATGTACCAGATGATGAAGTGGTGATATTGATTGCGGTTGTTGTTGGTGTGATCTGCTTAGCTATCGGCGTGGTGTTTTGTGTTGTATACGGCGTTGTAGTATACAACATTGAATACGTGGTTGGTGTGGTATATGAATTTGAGTACAAGGTTGAATCTAATGTTGTAGATGCCGTGGTAAACGATGTTGCGTATGATGTTGTGTATGATGTGGAATAGGTCGTAGAATATGGCATGGAAAATGTTGGGGAATATGGGGTTATTAACGATGTGGCATCCGTTATTGGAGGTTCCACAATCGAAGATTTCGTTAGTGAATTATCTGTATCATAAATATCATTGGTGACTGATTTTGCCGCAAAGCAATCATAAGTGCTATTTTCCGGAACGTATTTATCACTAGTGTCATACGTACTATCACTACTATTCAAATTATATCTATAACAAGTGTCATATGTCAATCTGTTATTATTACTTAGATTAATTTTGATATCATTATTGTTAGTTGTATTTGTTATGTTTGTCGTTGAGTACAGCTGTGGACCACTGGCACTCGTAGTTGTTTCTAAATGTTGATCTAAAAGCAAAAATTACAAAGTCTCTTTAGCATACAATTGATAAAATAATATAAAAAATAACAGTGACTTACAACTAGAAGAGGTTATATAGGCTTTTGTTGATAATGCACTGATGTCTGGTAAACGTTTTCCTGTGCTTCTTATTGTTGGCTCGAAATTCGAATTATTAGCACTGGTCGCATCTGTTAAATTCGGAACAGCTGGAATTTGTGGTAAACGTTTTCGACCTATAAATTAAAGACGAAAATCATGAGATCAAATTTGACATATATTTTCTTAAATTTCTACTCACTTGTACTACTAGTGTAGTTTTGATATGAGTCTGTCACTTGGTTGAAATTATTTGTGAGTGAAGATGCAACCGGAACGGCATTGGATATAACGGACATTTTGCTTCGACGATCTGTTGCTGTACTGAACTCCGAGTATACCGATTGGGCGGTTGTGTTAAGGCTTTCGTTTGAATGAAAGATGGGTGGTTCATTCATGCTTTTCGCTGTGTCATCATACGGTTCATATGTTCTCAATGTTGGTGAAAAACTGTAATCGTTATATTGCATGGCTGACATTGCACCACGTCGTTCGAAATCCTCGGTGGAGCCAAACTTTGAGTATTCCGTGTCACTGCGACTCATCAAAGATGCCGGATATTTTGACTTATTTATGGATGGCATCTGTGGCAGTTGCCGTGTATAACCGGCACGTGGTAGTCTTTTACGCGTAGCGCTTACAACTGGTTGCGGCAACTGACGTGTCTTCTTTGATAAACCAGATGCAATCGGTATTGCATCAGTCAACAGCGTTGAAGTTGCTTCTCTCTGTTCGATCACATTGTAGCTTTTAGTCGGAACCTTTGGTAAAAGCTTTCCCTTCGACGGCAAATTACTATTAAAATTAATACTATTCGTATTCCATTGTCTATCTAATCCATAACTATAGTCATATCTATTGACTAATTGTGGTTCATTGGCATTCCTTGTAGGATACAGCGATGTTTCATAGTCGTTCGTTTCTTGATCACCATAAAAATTGTCAAATAATACTGAAGAATGTTGACGTTCTAAACTACGCTTTCGAATTCCTGCAACAAAAACCAAAAAAAAAAAAAAAACAAATCAAAATTTAAAAACACTATTTTAAAATGAATTTATTATTTATTTTACCTGTGTACCCATCTGATCTATCATATCTAGTTTCACTAAGTCCTTTTAAACAACTATTTGTGTTGAACGGCCTACTATTGTACGATAATGGATCACTTTCTTCTTTATCACGAATCGGAGATCGGCTGTCTTCTGGATACATATTTTCAATTTCCATATTTAAGCTAGTAAAGTTGGTCATAGCAGTGTTTGCTGTTGTTGTGTCATAATATCCTAAAATTAATGTATATATTGAAAGATCACCATTATACATTCGTAGAGGTGGTTTTAATTCGATTTAGATACATACCATATCGATCTTCTTTTTCGTACGAGTTTTCACGGGATGTTTCTAATGAGCGTTGTGGTGTCTGTAGATTTCGGTAGTGACTAGCTGATGAGTTTGCATTATGTGTTATTGGATAGTTTAAGTCCGAAGTATAATCACTATCCTCTGAGTAACGAGCTATTTATATTCATTGTATGACGAAAAAAAATTTGATAATTATCTTACTAAGTATAAAGTTGAACGATATACTTACAATTACCTAGGTGTTGCACTTGGCGATATTGTCTATCGTTGGTCATTCTGTTATTTATAAGTTCCAATTTGCGTTGAAAATCACCAGCCTCAGTGTCAGGATCTGAATGATGGTAAAATGATCAAGTTAATCATAAATTTATTTAATGGAATGAAAAGAATGTACAGTGCATTTTTTTTATCTGTAATGTGACGAGGTAGCACCTAAATGTTTGAATATTCAAAAAATACTTTTGGTGTTGCCTGATGGGACCCTAAGCTATTTCGCGTTTAGGTTTCGACAACTGTCAGATCAGTACAGTGTTTGTTGTGCAACCGAAATATGAATTCCGAACATTTTCATTCACGATTTGAAGCAGTATTTCTGCATTTACACCCAAAGGGGCCACAATGGCCGCAGACGAAGGTCGCAAAATACCTTCATAAGTCACCAGGGTTCGTCCAGCACTGGATCCAGCAGTATAAGCGGGAAAAAAATGTGAACGATCAGCCCAATGTTAAGCCAAACCGAGCCTCCTCGCCAAAGCAAGATAAGCGGATAGTTAAGTTGTTCGACGAAAATCCAGGTATGTCATTGAGCCAAGGTGTTGAACGGCTACGCCTACAGTTGGGCATTTTCGGTATCTTATTATTCATCTTATTATCTTATCATTCTAATAAGATCAAACTATATTATTACTTATTATTTTTTTGCACTAATAAGTATAGTAATAAGTATAGTTATTAGAATGTTACGTAGGCGACTATTTAAGTTTCTTCAATATGTATGTTTTAGTAT